AAACAAGCTCAGATCGTAATTCCATAGAACTGACTATGGCGGAATTTTTTTATAAGTTATTATTATTTGTTTCATCTGTCTTTCACTTGAAATATCTGAGCAAAACACGTTCAAACCCAAAATCCTATTATCTCTCGCTTACAGTGTTTGGAGACGTATTATATAATTGTGCTTCTAGCTCAGTGATTAAACTGAGTAGAATAGCAACATCCACGACAACAGACTAGGTGTATTTAGAAAGAAAAAAAAGTTTACGATTTTCTCTGAAATATCTCAGAGAAACTTAATTCAGTAGAAGGCTAGATGATGATCAACATGAAAAAGTGCTCAAGAAGTCTGCCTTTCAGGTAAAGAAGACACAAAAGTAAGTGAGAGTTCAAAGGTTGAACGTTGTAGACTGTGTGAAAATCTTGTATCTTCGGAGCTATGTTGCAGCTGTTCGCGATTCCTTGTTTTAACCGGCTTTGGAATTAAGTCTTATACAATTTTATAGTCATTCGTCACTTTTAAGAGTGTAGTTTTTAACCAACATCACTAATTTGCTTTTTCTTTTCAAGTTTTAACTTTATCTCATAATTTTTAACACGTTTTGACTTCTAATATTTTACTGATTTAAAAACACTAAAGTATTGCATCACTCAGACCATAACAAAAACAGTCTGAAATGTAAATATGATACATAAGTATCTCAATCAGTCTAAAGTAAAATAACTCTAGTCTTCATATTGTTGGTGGTCTTTTGTTTCACTATCTTCAACATAAAAATACGACCTTCAAAAACACATTGGATCTTGGCTTTTTACATAATTGCAACTTCCAAAGAACGCATAAATATTTTCAAGACGAACACTTTTATAATGGCTCTGACCTAATAATGGCCTTGTCTCTGGCTATGACGTTTGGAGTTTACCTAGAGGTTAATAAGGACAAGTACAACTCAAAATAAGAATTTCTTGTTTCAAGTAGTTCGAACATTACAACACTCATTTGGCGGAATAATCTACCAAACTAAGTAATCAGGCAATAAAAATAATACGTGTAAGCTAAATGTTTTGATGATTAAAAAAAAAGCTAACATTCCATCTTAAAATTTTGAAAGCCAACGCTGAGCAACTTTTATAAACTGTAAGTGAATCATACCAAGTCAATTTCTGTTGTTTCAGAGACTAACACAGGTTAACAATTTCGCCCTAATTGGAGAGAAGATTCTAAAATAAGAATAATTTGGTTCGACAAAAATCCTACAGTAAAAATTCAGGGTAGAGGACAACGATCAACTTTGATAAGTTTCGAAACATAAGACACTATAACTTAAGACACTATACAACTGATTTTTTCGTGTGTTTTTCTTCCCAAAACTACATTTAACAGGCCATTCACAAATTAAGAAGTTTTCTATATAAAACTAATATTCCCTAAGTAATATCAATAAACAAATTTTATTTTTTCTTAAGAGTTTTTTGTCAGCGAATGGACGAATTAGGCTTAACGAGGCTGTTTCATGTCTTCAACACAAGTTGTTTAATTCAGTTTTTATCTTCAAGTCATTACATAATTTCATTCTTCTTAATATAACAAACTACCAAAAATAGCTCTTTCGGGCTCGTATTGTTTTGTTTTTGATCCAGAGAGATAGGGAATTAACTTTTTAACTTGATATCATCCAATTTACTAAAGTGCTTTAAGTATAAGGCCGCGAGCTGTTGTTTAGAACAGCGAACTTTTCAAATACACTTCAAAAATTAAAAGTTATGAAATTTTTAATAAAAGTTTTGCATGTTTTAAAATATTTTAAAAATTAAATAATTCGTACGTTGATGCAAAATTCTATCAAAGCCATAAACCGTTAAATTACTTTCATCAAGACGAACATGAAGAACAATTTTCAATTTTTTAACGTGTAACGTAACTAAAAGAACAAGGGATAAATTATTTGTCGTTAATACGAAAAACAATTCAAAAACAGAACCTGTCGTAAATTTGATTGTCTTAATACTTCGTATGCAAAAAAATATATATATGAATTATATTTTAATACTAAAAACTGAATAAATAAAATAAATTATTATCTCAGAGCCAATTTAATTGTCGCCATTACTCACACTATAATTCACGTGAATTTACGTCCTAAACAGTCGCCTACGTTATCCTTTCATAATATCGAGCTTTTTTTATTTCTAATAAGGCAATGCTGATCAGATAAAAAAAGGGTCCAATCTGTTTTTATTTTTTTAAGATTTAAACCCCTTAACGTCAAACTTCTTTCTCAGATACCATCTGCATAAAACTAATTAAAGTGGTAATAATATATATTTAATCATATTAAATAACAAGTAACATTTCATTGCTGTTGGAGTGGTGCAGTTTCGCGTTATATCATTATCAACTCTTATCATTCAACTAGGTTATCTTAGGTAATACTGTCCCAAATCTATAGAAATTCATTTGTTACCATTGGCTACAGATATTCCACACCTAGAGATATTTAAACTTTTTTTGGATAGTTTTACCTACCATGGATGGATAAAAGCTAATTCAGCCCGAAACACTTGTTCTCTGCTAATTGTGTTAATTATTGTGGTATATTTAACCAATAATGGTAAATATAATTATGTTAGCATAAAGTGAAGGAAACCTTGTTGTAATTTCTAACTGTTGTAGCGTCCTTTTTTTGTGGATGTTTAACATAAGTACTGCATATACTATAGCGACCTTTGACATTTCTATATTTTATTTGAATGAACATCAGTATTGTTCGTCAAATATCCTGTATTATTTTTTACGTGTTTTGAATAATAATTTTTGTTTTCCAACACTGAAAGAAGTATAACTAACTTACACATGATATAGGCCTATAACCGAAACTACTCGTTTTTAAAATATTTTTGTTGTTGACGTTTTTAGTGATAAAGTTTATTAAATTTATATAGGTGTAGTACTACAGAACAGGCTATCTGTGCTGTGCCCACCAAGGGTATCGAAACCCGGTTTCTGGCGTTATAAGTCTGCAAGCTCGCCGCTGTGCCATGGGGAAAGTGGGCTTTTTTGTGTATGAAAAAGTATAGACATGTGGCCAAGTAGTCAGCATGTCGGACTGTGAGCCCGAGGTTCGTGGTTTGCACCGTTTTGCTGCGGCAATATGCTCGCTCTATTTGTTGACCTGGGTAAGTTGAACAATAAACTGTATCCGTTAAAAAAAAGACGGCAGGGAACCTCTGAACTATTATTTTCCGTGAAATACACAAGGACTTCATAAAAACTGTGTCTGCTTATCTTAGATTTAGAGGGCGTTCTTGTTTGTTTGTTTATTTTGCAAAATAACAACGGGCATCATTTATTGTCTGTTCTTCCTCTATTGCAAAATAATAATAGGCATCATTTATTTTCTGTTCTTGCTCTAAAGGTGTTAAGGTGTTATAATTCCTCTTAAGTAAACTCAGTCAACTTACCATAAGAATCGCAGGTTCTAGGTTCAGATCGATTGGGTTCATGATTATAAACACTTGTTGGTTTTTGTGCACAACACCAGATGGCTCTTTCAAGGATGCTTTGCAGAAATACTGAACCCACCCGTGTTTCCCAAGAAATGTAGACGGAAGTCCAAGAGGAAGGCCTAACTTAAATGGGAAAGAATGTACACCTGGAGACAACACTACAATTCTGGCCCCTGCAAAAATATGGAAAATATATGTGTATTAAATATTTGATTAATAAATACATTAATTTGTTTATTTGTTTGTTTAATTTCGCGCAAAGCCACTAGAGGTCTATTTGCACTAGCTGTCCTTAATCTTACATTAATTTATTTATTTGTTTGTTCGATTTCGCGCAAAACTACTAGAGGTCTATTTGCACTAGCTGTCCTTAATCTTACATTAATTTATTTATTTGTCTGTTCGATTTCGCACAAAACTACTAGAGGTCTATCTGCACTGGCTGTACTTAATTTTGAAGAGATAGGCTAAAGAAAAAGCAGCTAGTCAACACCACCCACCGCCAACTCATGTCATGCCGAATATCGTGACTTGACTGTTACTCTTATAAGGACCCAAACTTGTTTGTTTGTTTTGAATTTCGCGCAAAGCTACACCTGGGCTATCTGCGCTAGCCGTCCCTAATTTATCAGTATAAGGCTAGAAGGAAGGCAGCTAGTCATCACCACCCACCGTCAACTCTTGGGCTACGCTTTTACCAACGAATAGTGGGATTGGCCGTCACTTATAACGCCCCCACGGCTGAAAGGGCGAGCATGTTTGGTGGAATGGGGATTCGAACCCGCGACCGCAGATTGCTAAGACCCAAGACTAGCTAAGTTGTACGTTATACGCTTCTCACAGTCTCTCGGTCGGACAGCGGTAATTTTACGGACTTAAAATGCTAAAATACCGAGTTCGATTCCCGCGGTGGACACAACACATAGGTGAACGTGGCTTTGCTATAAAAACAAACAAAGTCATAACATTGACGCTTGGCCTGGCATCAGATTGATCATAAAACTAACACGTAACATTAATGTCCTTTTAAACCTCCCAGTGACACAGCGGCATGTCTGCGGACTTACAACGCTAGAAACCGGGTTTCGATACCCGTGGTGGGCAGAGTACAGATAGCCCATTGTGCAGCTTTGTGCTTAACTAGAAACAAACAAACGCTTCTCATATAACAACGTTGTCAGTTGTTTTAAATCTTTCGTGTTAGGTATTTCTAAAGTGAGCTTAGATAGGAGTTCTACTTGCCTGAGTTTTAAAGAGATAATGACATTTCTTGGAGCAACTGCTTCTAACATTACTAAAAAAATCTCTCCCACACGTAACCAAAAATAAAAAACATATTATATTGTTTATACGACTTATAATTTATATTTAAAAACTCCATAGAAGTGCCAAGAAAAAACACTTTTGAGAGGTCCAATCCGGCAAAATTAACTTTTTTAAATATTTATTTTATATTTCTCAAAATAAACCTTTTCAACATTGCCTCAGCAAATGAACTCCAAAAAAAATAGGGATGTTCCTAAAAGTTGAGTTGTTGTTTTTTTATTCCCTTACGCAGCCAATTTTTGAATTATCTACATGTACTTAAACATACTCTCGCACTCAGTTTGTTTGTCTGTTTAGTCATTCGTGTGGCTTGTTCAACCCTACCAAATAAATTATGTTTTGTATGTTAGTAACTGTATATAATATAATTTTAAAGCTGTCCAAGACACAGCTTCGAAGAAGATTATTAGTAAACTCGTGGGTATTGTGTCTTAAGTCTTAAACCTTACTTGAATTAGTAAAAAATAAAAAGCTAGAACGAGGTTTATTTTCTTACTAAACCCATGTTTTCAATCTTGATCTTTATCATACGTTTCTGGCAGCTTAGACGACGAGTTGTATTACATAAAATATATGTTACTGTTATTTACTATTACTACTTGCCATTGAAGTTACCTGTATTAAACATCTGGCAGACGCTCTCCAATTGATCAGGTAATATATATATATAATGTGGTCGATATCTCTTTACTGTCTGACAAGCGACGTCTGGCAGTACAATTAAAAACAAACCACTCCACGTAGGATATCAGTCGAAATCGATTTTAGAAAGAGCGCTTTACATGTTTTTATATAATACAAATGTGCGTGTGTGTTGCTATGGATACAAGTGATTCCCCCCCCCCTAAACAGACATGAAATATGACGTTTTCTTGGACAAAGTAGTCAATGTAGATCAATCAGCACAATTCAATTGTGCTAGAAACAACAATTTCATTCTTCATAGGGCCGAGAGTAGTCTATTAGCTGGTGTGCCCGGATTATGAACCTTAAGGTCCATGGTTCGTTCACCGTTGCAGCAAAAAATGAGCTACCGCACTATTGGGGTCGTATTTTACGCTATAAGAGTGACAGTTAAATCACACTATTCGGTCAGATGAGAACAGCTTCAGAGCTGACGCTGTTGACTTACCAGCTGCCTTCCCTCTAGTCTATCAGGTGAAATGAATTTTTTAAAAAAAAGGTTTCAAACTCGAGCGCTTTCGAATAATTGAAGTGGAATTAATCAAAATTGCTCGAGTTTTTTTTTAACCTATTGTACCTTTTATGTGTGATCCTGTGTGCTAATTCTTCTAACAAATAAGTTCTAAATTAGGGACTGCTACACGCAGGTAGCCCTTTGCACGAAAGTTTTGAAACAAACAAGCAAAAGTTATACATGACGAACTTATGTGAATATTTTCTTTTCTAAGGGAGCGTCTATTAAGTTCCTATTTGTGTCTGATTCACTTTGTTTTTTGTTGTTGTTTTTTTGCGCAAAGCTACACAATGGGCTATCTGTTCTGTATTCCAAAGAGTATCGAGCCCCAGTTTTCAAGTGTTATAAGCCCTAGAAATTTCCGCTAAGTCACCAAAGAACTATCAAATAATTAATGAAAGAATAGTCCCTTAATATGCGATATAGAGCAGTTCAATTGCGTGGGTATCAATCAATACCTTCATCTTATTTTAAATCAAAATCGATTTGATTAGGCTGTATCATTATAATTATATTCGATGATTAGACTATAATATAAAACTGAAGATTTTAGCGAAACACTTCTGGCACCGAATTATGGAAATATGAAATCACAGGAGTTATCTTTAATGTCAGGGAAGTTAAGAAGATATTTTTCTTTGGAACTGAGTTACCAATATTTGCAGCAATAAAATGTCATTCTAAAATTATGTGAACTTAAATTACTTTGCTTACTGGTCATTCATTTAAAAGTAAGATGTAATACATAATTACTATAACCGAAAAACAACCGTGATGATTGGATGGTGAACTGGAGCTGGAAGGTTATATATTTTATTGTAAAATTCTACATAAGTTATTGGTTTTCTTCTATTTTAAAATCATGTATCATAATAACTTTTCTTTATTTTAAACCGAAACCATACAATGAGCTATCTATTATTTCCCCATCATTGGTACCGAAACCCGATTTGTGGCGTTATAAGCCCTCAGACTTATCGTCGAACCATCAAGGGGGGCATCCTAGTAATTAAACACATTTTAAAACAGTGATATCAATTATTAAATCTGTTTGATTTTTTTGTTTTTTTAATAGAAAACCACATTGAGCTATCTTCTGTGTCCAGCGGGGTAAACGAACCCCGAATTTTTGTGTTTTAAGTTTGTAAAATTACCGTTGACCCATTATTTTAAAGTTCCTCAGGATTTTTTTGTCTATCGCTGTAGTTATAGAAGAAGTTGTCTCAAGTGATATGAGTAACACAAGTGGATCTCAACTTACCAGGTCCTGAAGGTCCATCCCCCAATAATTTCATACTGAAGTCGATATAATTTTCTTTGTCATTGATTTTACCTTGTCCTCTGTCAGCAAATCTTATTACACCTTCACCAGCAATGTAGAAGAACAACCCTAGATACAAAATTAAATATATATACAGTTTTATTATGAAAAATTCAATACGGACGTTACGACCTATAAGAATTTAAATACATAAGGTTTTTAATTTAAAGAAGGACTAAAATCTGATGAAATAATACTAATACATATTGTTTGTTTGTTATGGATTTCGCGCAAAGCTACAAGAGGGCTATCTGCGCTAGACGTCCCTAATTTAGCAGTGTAAGACTAGAGGGAAGGCAGGTAGTCATCACCACCCACCGCCAACTCTTAGGCTTCTCTTTTACCAACGAATAGTGGGATTGACTGTCACATTATAAGGCCTCCACGGCTGAAAGGGCGAGCATGTTTGGTTTGACGGGGAGTCGAACCTGCGACCCACAGATAGCGAGTCGAGCGTTCTAACCACCTGGCCATGCCGGGCCACTAATACATATTCACAGATGATAATATAAAAAACTAATTAAACTCTAATTGTTTTGTAAATTGATCCAAACAGGAGTACAAAAAAAATAATTTGTCCTTTATAGTATATTGTTTTAAATTACTTACATCTCTCATAAACTAAAGTTAATTGATTAATTAACGCTAATCTAAAATGGGCAACTTAAAACATAATTTATTCCATTTCCAGAATTGTTAAATTTACAGTTAAGTTTTATTTTTGTATTTTTCATTCGTGCTCAAGTTTTATTTTCAGGTCGTCACATTTCAATAATAAGAAACAGAGAGAAAAAAAAAAAGACTCTTAATTCACAGCAGGATTTTTAAGTGGCTATTACCAGGTATCCATACGCATGCTTAAGCACAATAATACACAGTGGCTTATCTGAGCTCTGCTCACCACGGGTATCGAAAACCGGTTTCTAGCGTTGTAAGTCCGCAGACATACCGCTGTGCCACTAGGTGGCAAACGAATTCTAAGATTTTTGTTCTGTATTATTTGTTTAATTCTACAAATATAACAACCAGCGTATATTTTTTATTTATTTTTTAATTAACAACTAAAAATTGAAATTTGCTATAAAAAATTATATTTGCGTTTAAACTATTATTTTCACAAGTATTACGTAACTAATTATTATACAACACAATTAACATCTTCTATCCTTGCAAATTTAAATGCGTTAGTTTGTTTATAAAATTTCAAATAAACACTTTTTTGGTTTCTTTACGAGTGTACACCTTCGGCAAGTATGGTTTCCTATTATAATCCTAATATTCGAAGCTTTGATAAGCTGAGACAGAAGCTCACAAAATCCAAAAGGACTTTCTTGTCATTAAGTTGAGTAGGACGTTGTTCCATATTGCGGAAAGTATATGTGACTCGCAAAGAAATTCCAAAATATCAGTGTTCCCAAATATATTTACCCTTGTTCTTGCGAAGTTCCTAGCGACATTTTTGCCACAATACAGTAAATTGATAAAGATTTTTTGTTTCGTGTGTCTGTTTGTGTTTTGTTATTGCAAAGCCGCCTCAGGCCAACTGCTGTATTCACCGAGGGGAATCGAACCCCTGATTTAGCGCTGTCCCGCCTGGGACTTTTTGTTTATCTAAAATAGCGAAACTTGTCATTATAGAAATAATAATATTTCTCTAACGGAGTCTTACATGATGGTGACTTACACTTTGGTGAGTCGAAACAAGTAGCCAAGTTTTATTTTAACGTTGTTTTTGCTTTTAATAAACCAAACTGCACTTTTTTTTAAGTGTTGTGTCACATTTATTTAGTAGCTTTACGCATGAAGTCAGTAAAATTCAAATTTTAAAAAGTGTTCTCTTTGTTGACGGGTAAAGATCAAGCAGTAAGTATCCAGTAAGTGTGCCTTGCCTTCTACGTTATAAGCGTATAATTTGAGAACATATCCTGCATTTATTTTATTTTGTTTTTCAGTTGTAACATCTAAGAAATTCGTGCTGCTACGTGTTGCTTAAACGGTTGTCATCGAAAATATCCTATTATGTATTTCTTATCAGTAGTCACTTAGTTAGGAGGTGAGTTTTTACAAACTAATTTTAATTTGTTGTTGTCTTTTCATAATTAGTTTGTTCTATTGTTTTAGGTTCGTTAAACGAGATAAAACGTGTACAAGTTCAAAATGGAAGGAAAGTGACACGTCTGAGAGCAAATATGTATGAATTAAAATAATGGTTAAAATAGGCGAAATAAGAAGAACATAATAATTTCTAACAAATGAATAAGTAGTGAATGAAACTATGGGAGACGAAGAACAAGCAATGGATCAGCTAATTAACAAAAAGTCTCCCAGTGGAACAGCGGTAAATCTTCGGATTTACAGTGCTAAAATCAGGGGTGTGATTCCCCCTCTGTGGACACAGCAGAGAGAGACTCACATTATAACTAACATTATAGCACCTGAATTGTTTAAAGTTTACAAAATATTTAGACTTCCATGGGAAGTTCGAGTTTTATGTAATTGTTAATCTATGTTTATTTTGAATTCCAGGATTTGAATAACAGGACACAAAATGGTTTGTAGCGTCGACGTTCAATCTTTGTTTCTCAACGAAATCTGGTTGCATATAGTCAATACTTAAGTGTTATTCCAAATAACTGTGAACAAGATAAAAATAAAAGAATCAATTGGGGCGAAATGTCCCCCCATTTAAATAACGACAAATATGAATCAATTAGTTTGATTAATCAACCTTGTAAGGTTATCTATTTTATCGCAACAGAGTTTATTAATATTTAATATTTCGAAAACGAAACCCTATATTCAAATATATTCCTGCCTCCTGTGGCTTTGCGGTATGTCCGAGAGCTTATAACGCTAAAAATTGGGTTTCGACACTCCCGATGGATACAGCACAGATAGTCCATTGTATAGCTTTGTGTTTAACAACAAATAAAGTATATTGTTAGCGCTTCTTAGGTGATTGTTTGTTTGTTTTTAATTATGCACAAAGATACACAAGGGCTATCTGTGCTCTGCCCACTACAGGTATCGAAACCCGGTTTCTAGCGTTGTAAGTCCGCAGACATACCGCTGTGCCACTGGGGGCCTTCTTAGGTGAAATAAGATGTTATCAGTTTAGGAAGTATCTGCTGTCTTAAATCGTTGATGGCACAACAAATATGCCAACCAGGATTCTGTTTCTTTATCACTTAATTCCAAATAATATATATATAACATTGAAAAAGGAACACAAAATTTATTTACACTCATAGCTTAAGAATCCAAATTAACTAGTTAGTTTTGAATTTCGCGCAAATCTACACGAGGGCTATCTGCGCTAGCAGTCCCTAATTTAACAGTGTTAGACTAGAGGGAAGGCAGCTAGTCATCACCACCCACCGCCAACTCTTGGGCTATTCTTTTACCAACAAATAGTGGAATTGACCGTCTCATTATAACGCGAACATGTTTGGAGAGACGGGGATTTGAACCCCCAACTCTCAGGTTGTGAGCCGAGCGCCCTAACCACCTAGCCATGCCGGCCCCGAATCGACTACCTTACTGTAGACGTAAATACGAACGGTAATTTTCGAGGAAATTACTTAATTTGGTATTACAAGATTATTTTTAGAAAATCTTACTTGCTTTGTTAAATTGTAGACTTAAAATTAACGTTTAGCAAAGATTTACTATCTACCAATAGGTTACTTGTTTTTAACTCTAAATTAGAAACAAATTTAAAAAACAGCTTAGATATCTGTAACTTTTTGTTAGCCTAACATAATGAAATATGACATATTAATGATGTCAAGTATAGATAGACAGATGGGTATAAAATTAATTTAACAAACATTTTCGTTTGACAAAAAAAAACTGCGTGAAGAGTTTCTATTTACCACATCTGGGAGGGAGAGGGCGCTAGAGAGTACAGACGAAAGAAAGCTAATTTAGTTTTTCAATTATGACCCAGTCATTACCCTTCTTAATTTATTATAAAAGTTTTAATTAATTTCGGGTCATTTTAAAAATAAAGTAGTTAATTTGGATCAACTTACTTATATTGTGCAAGTTTATATTACATGATAATTAGTACCAAATTAGGCTTAGCTAAGTTTGCTCTATTGGTATAGTACTAGTCGAGTTGATACGTCAAAAAATATACCAGTACTAATTGGTAGGCTCATTTGTTAATTCTAAAGAAAGATGGCGAAATGGATAAAACATTGCTATGAAACAAAGACTTAACTTCAGTGTCTTCTAATAAAAATTATAATATTAAATCAATTACATTAGACTATTAAAAACGCTGTTAATATTACACAATAATCGTAGTGATTATATCTCATTAAAAAAGAGAACTTTTTTTCTGGGAAGTACTACACGGGAAGAATATTCGGATTGTGCTCTTTAGTCAAACGCAACTCATTGCATCAAAATGATTCAATGTACAGAGCTCAAAATTTTCAGAAATTTTACTGATATAAACTGTAATGTTTGTATACATTAAAAGTGGTAGCGTTTATTGAAAAAAATAATAGTTTTTTAAGAACTCCAGTTTCTCAGTACTACATTTAAAAGTTACATCAATAAAGTTATAATCAAACCTTCACGTAACTAGTGAAAGTTATGTTCTTGTTGTGAGGAAAGTACTTTTATTTAAAATTGTGTTGTATTATAAGCAAATGGTTGTTGCACATAGCACAGTTATTTTTCTAATTGTCTGAATCTTGAATACGAAATTATTTTATGGGTTTTTGTTTGTGGTGCCATTTAATAGACGGCGCAGGAGTTTTAGTTACAAACATAGATAATGACATACACGCTACGTCCATTATAGAAATATTAGAACAGTATTATGCCAGTTTACTATGACACAAATGTCTATTCAAGTGTCCCCCCTAAAAAAAACAACTTATACTTATAATTATATTAAATCAAATTATATTAGACTGTTTTACTCAATTTGTGTAGGTATATATTCAATTATTAATACTAAATTAGGCTATGTTTCTTTACCATGTTATTATAGAGTCTAGCAACGATAAGCAGTCTTAGTCTCCATCCTTTTTTGTCTTATATTAAAGGCTCTG